TCAGGTACGCCCAACATGCCTCTTGGTACACCCAACGTACCATGTTTGGACACCTTCCTTCTGATTAAGTGCTTATTCCTTAATTCCTTCCCATCCAACCTTAGATCTAGACTCAAAACATCAACTTAAGTCATAAAGTTTCCACCTTTATGACATTCCATGGCTAAAAAAGGTCCAAAAGCTAAAACCCTAACTTATTAATCCATTAAGACATCATAAATCTTGCATGGAAGGCATATAAGGACCAAGATCACATTTTTATGGTTCCTAACACCTAAAAGTGTCTGAAACGACAGCTCCTCTGGGTTGAGTAGTCCATACTAATGAACACCAACCAAATGGGACCAAAAGGAACACAAAATCAAGGCTAATAAGATCTAAGAAAATAACTCATCAAGATTTGAACTTTATACCTCCAAAGGATGCTTAAGGGTGACATACTTCTGGATCTAAATGGTCTTGAGCTTCCAAGGTGAACCCACTTCTCTCTTCCTCCTTCAAGAACACCAAAGATGCACATTAAGGCTCAAAGATGCTCACAAAATGGATTAGGGTTTGTAAGGGATGAAGTGGACAATGAAGGCTGAAGAGGGAAAAGGTTTTGGGAGTTAATGATGCTTAAATAGGGCTCAAACCCTAAAAATTAGGGTTTGAACATCGGCCACATACACCCGACGTACTTGTGATTACGCCCAACGTACTGACCTGAGGCACATTTCTCATTATTGAACCATGGGGCCAATTTTGCAACAAAATTCCATATTAATGGTATAAATGCAAAATACCTAGAAATCGATGTGTTATAGGACAAGCCTTGTAGGGCTATTTCTGATCATCAAGGACTAGAAGGGTATTTACGTCTTTTCTACCTTTTTGGATGGGAACTTACGTTTATTACATATTTTGTAGGTTTATCCTTCTTGGATATGGTTTGAGTAGCAAGATGGTATTCGTGCTCTACAAAAAGATAATAAAGAAATTGCACGCCCGAGTTTTACAACATCTATCTCGATAGGCCAAAGGTATTTTAAATTTACTAAAATATGGAGCCTCAACTGGAGCTTCAATGAGTCATTCCTAAAGTTAAATCCTAATATCTTTCTCTTTGATAAAACAATTATAGAATAAGATAGAAAAGGTGACTCATCAAGCTCAAGAGCAATTTCAAACAGTTTTAAAGGAGCAAAGCAGGTTCACTTACAAAATAAGATAAAAATTATTTTGAACACATTTATTATTCATTTGGATTTGCTAATTTCCTGTATTTCTTTCTTTCATTGTAGATTTACTCTTGATATTGACCTTGATGCTCGAAAAATTAGAGTTCCTATAAGATTAAGTGCCTCATCAGAGTATAACATTCATTTTCTTTTGGATTTTGGTCATTTTACATTGCAAAAACCGGTATATTTTAGTTACGCTTTGGGATAATTTTGTTCCCTTAATGTGATTTAAAGCTAAACACACATTTTGATGTTGGAGGGCCAACCTGATGATAAAGTATAATTAGATAGTTGTTACACTTCGTGCTTCTATTTTGGCTACAGAAGTTGAGTGGCTCAACTCCATCAAGGCAGACTTAGTGGTAATAACTAATAACTAATAACATGGTTATATATGTTTCTCTAACTCAGAATTCTAAGTTTCTTACATATTATTTGTGCACATTATAGCCCTGTGACATGTTAATCTTTAATGACGCATCTAAGTTATTGATATTAAATATTCATATGTGAGTATTGTTTTATGTAGCATGTATCAGATGTTGTTGTAGTTGCTTGTCATGCATCAGTTGATGTTGGTATTCGTTTAGTTTGTGTAACAAATTTTAGGTATCTATGATTGCGCACCACTTTTTACTCCATTTGGTTAATAAAAGATTACTCATTTTGCTGATTTAATATGTATTAAAGGACTTAGTTAATGGAGAAATATATCATGTTATATTTATGAGGATATTCAGTCCCTTGTTTGTGACAATGGAACTAGAATGATGCTATGTTGACAATCGCCTTTCAAGGAGCCATAATCTACCAATTGAAAGTTTTAGACATAAACGAGACAAAATTAGGATTGGATCAATCATCCCGATACCATGGAAAGTTATAGGGATATTGTTATGTTCTACTATCAACTTCAACATACCGGTTGGCTCTCAAGTATATTTTATTTTCATATTTCTATCCCCTTTATTCAACTTGATTTTCTTACTTACTACAATATCAGGTATGTAGTGATTCAAATGTAAATCAAAAGTAAATCACATATTAATCACATTTAATTCACATGTGAAACACGTGTAATTCACATGTAAATCACAAGTGAGTCATATATGAATTACATGTGATTCACATGTAAATTATAAGTGAATCACATATAAATCAAAAGTGAATCACGTATGAATTACATGTGATTAATATATAAATCACAAGTTAATCACATATGAATGACGTCTATATATACACATGCATTTTGTGTGAGCGTTCTTCGATAATTATTTTTTAAAATTTTCTTGTGAATTTCACATTTGTATCTTAAAAGATACAATCACATGTGCATATCACATTATATTTATATAATCACATGTGAATCTTACATAATATATTTATAAACATTTTGTGAGTGTTCTTGTATTAATCAAATTTTTTTAATATTTCCTTGTAGATTTGGAAGAATTTATGAAAAATGTTGAAAATGTGAAAAGTGATAAATTGAAATAAATATGTAAATCTTGATACGAATAAACGATAACACTTTGAATCTTTGTCGCATTTTTTGTTTTTTATATTTTATTTATCGAATAAAAAACTACTACTATTGTGTTTATTGATAATAAAAATAGTGTTTTTTTTTAATTTACTTACGAACATTATAGTATACGAAATATGCATATATGCATTTGAAAAAATATTCATATATGCACCAGAAATGTTAATATTTTTTATTAAAAAAATTATAGTTTTTTTCTTTTAAATATTTTAGTTTTTTTTTTTAAATTACTGCTTTTAAAAAGTTGCAGCTTTTTCAAAAATTTGCAGTTAAAAAAAAAGATTTCAATTTTTAAAAAAAAACCATGTGTTCTAAATTTTTAAAAAATCCGCATTTTGTTAAAAAAATGAAAATTATTATTTAAAAAAAATCTGAAAATTTAATTTATTTTGTTAACTTTTAGACATTTTTATTAATATTTACAATAACACAAAAAATTAAACATTAATAAGATGACGAACATACCCTTAATATATATATATATATATATATATATCTATATATATATATATATATATATATATATATATATATATATAGGGTTGAGATCTGTTAAGAATTCATAGTTTTCCGAGAACCTGAGAACTAAAGGTGGAGCGTTAGATCAAAATTAATTCATTAAGGGCATGATCGTCATCTTACCGATCAAATTTAATGTTTAATTTCTTTTTCTTATTGGAAATATTAATAAAAAGTTCTAAAAATTAACATAATAAATCAAATTTCGGATTTTTTTTTTAAAAAAAAATAATTTTCGATTTTTTTTAAAAAAATGGAGATTTTTTTATTTTTTTAATTGAAAAAAAATATATTTTTTAAAAAAACTGCAATTTAAAAAAAAACTACATTTTGTTTTAAAAAAAACTGCATTTTTTTCAAAAACAAAACTGCAATTTTTTCAAAAAAACTGCATTTTAAAAAAAAAAGCTGTAATTTTTTCAAAAAAGCTGCAATTTTTTTTAAAAAGTAAAATTTTAAAAATCAATAAATTCAAAAAAAAAAACTGGAATATTTAAATAAAAAAAAACTCTAATTTTTTTAACAAAAAAAATCAACGTTTTAGATGCATATATGTATATTTTTCAAGTACATATATATATCTTTCTTATACTATAATATTTGTAAGTAAACATATAAAAAAATCCATTTTTATTTAATAATCTATAAACACAATAATACGAGTAATTAATCGATACAAAATAAAATATAAAAAAACCAAAAAATACTACAAAATTTCAAAGCGTTTTTATGTCTTCGTGTTCCATATTTTCTTTAATTTATCATTTTTCATCTCTTCAATGTTTTCCACTAATTCTTCCAAATCTACAAGAAAAAAATGATTAATGCAAGAAAACTCACAAAAATACATGTGTGCATATAGACGTAATTTATATGTGGTTCACTAATGATTTATGTGCGAATCACATGTAATTCATATGAAATTTACTTGTGAGTTACATGTGGTTAGCATGCGAATTACATGTGAATCACATGTAATTCATATGTGATTTATATGTAAATTACATATGTATCACATGTAACTCATATGTGATTCACTTGTGATTTACATGTGAATTACATGTGATTTACATGTGAATCACATGTAATTCATATGTGAATCACTTGTGATTTACTTGTGAATTACATGTGATTCACTTGTGATTTACATGTGAATCACATGTAATTCATATGTGATTCATTTGTGATATATAGCTAAAATGAAACAAATTAAAATAAACTATATGGTTAGAAAAAATAAATAATTAATATGATTTACATGTGATTCACATGTAAATCACAAGTGATTCACATGTGATTCACAAGTGATTCACATGTAAATCACAAGTGATTTATGAAGCTTAATATAAAAGCAATTAAAATAAACTATATGGTTAGAAAAAAAAAATAATTAACATGATTTACATGTGAATTACATGTGATTCACATGTAAATCACAAATGATTCACATGTGTCACAAGTGATTCACATGTGAATCACAAGTGATTCACATGTAAATCTCTTTATTCATCATCATTTTTCTATATAAATTTTTTGATATTATGTGAGAATTACCTGAAATCCAAGAAATCTGCAATTGTAGAAAGCTCTCACAACTATAGCTTAATAGGAACCTGAATGGAAAAATCTGAATGATATTTGTGACACATCACACATACATTCAATGAATCTTTTTGTAGTTTCTACTCTTGAAGAAAGGAAAACCCCCCAAATCATGAGATTATAAGTGTGTCTTGAAGGAATAGATCTTTCTTGAAATGAGGCCTTGACACCTGTCACAAAGAGTAGGGTTTCAAACAATTCTGCAAAAATAAAAAGTTATTTTTAACTTTTTATAGTAATCTTTAGCTGGTTTTAAGGTTTACCTGGTAAAAGAATGGGCTTTGTCTTTCAACAGCTAAAACAAAATCATATTTGGAAAAGCTTTGAGTTCCTCTATTATATAAAGTTTCTGAAAATTCACTTGAGGAAGCACGTGACATGTCATACTCATAGGGTTCATTAGGGTATAATTTGTTCCATGTTTCTTCTGTTTCCTTTCTTGATGTTCTTTGATTAATAGAAGAGACAACATTAGAGTTGTCAAGAATACTTCCATAGAATTCTTCATAATCTGATTTGTATCTAACCTGTAAAAAAATATCAAGAACATAAAGTTTTTTACAGAAATTATCATTGGAAAAATGAATATTTGTTTCATAATCATATACCAGATTAAGTCCGTGACAATGCCAAATCCATTCACAATCAAGAGGAACAACTAAAGGTCCTTCAGTGATTTTAGACTCTGAATGTTTAGCAAGCAATGGAAGCCAACATGCATTGTACCTGAAATTAGTTTTTTTTTCATTAAATTATAAGTTTTTGTTACTAAAAAAGTAATAATCAGTTGAGTTACCTATAGATTGCCCATTGCAATGTCTGGCCTTGATAAAGCCAACGGTTTCTGTCTACAACTGCAAGATTGCAGCTAAAGCTTAGCACAGTCAAAAGATCTTCACTGATAAAGATACTATGTGCTGCATTCCATTCAGACTCCTGTTCTGTGTCCATTTTGATACACACCTAGAAATCAAGATGAATACAAGTAAGAAATCTATTGGTTTTTTTAATATAAGATGAGTGTTGCTACCAATGTGGAAAACTCTAAAAGAGCCCCACCAAATCCAAAAATAGGCCTGTAACTACAATTAAGATAAGAACAGATCAAAATTATCTTACAAACCACTTCTTCTTTACTTATGACATAAAGCATGACTTAACAGAGAAAGTAAATGTGGATTTCCAAGTTAACTTCTAATAGTTAACAAATATTTCCCTAATTTGGCATTGTAGCATCATCTTTAGTGATAGCTGGTCAACAAAATCTTGCCAATCATTTGGTTTGGAAATATCCTCAGGTGGCAGGTCATAAGAACCATAGTCAATGGGATGAAATTACCAATACAGAAGCACAATTAACAAAGGTAAATGGTGAAAACATTCTTTGAAGCATTTCAACAAACACGTTGTGTGCTAAAAACAAACAAAAGATATTTTCCAACTCTGAACGGTTGAAAATCCATCAAGGTGAAGGAAACTAATACAATATTCAAGATTAGAGAAAGAAAATAGGAAACAAGCAACGGTAGTTACAAATATGAGAATAAATGAAGAACACTTATCCTTTTCTCCTTCTGTTATCTAATCAGTAGTTGGCGCAACGACAGAGGAAGAAGAGAGATCTCGATCGTAATGGAGTAGTCCGATGATGATAGAGAAACAAGGGAGAACGAATGTGCAATAATGGCGGACAAACCGATTCAAAATCAAAGCATCTTCAGTGAAGTTTTTTCTATGAAGAACGTGAGATCAAGGAGTGTGGCGGTCGACAGAGGTAGAGGTGGCCGGTGAAGGGAGGAGGGAGGCGGTCGACGGCGAATGATGGAGGAGGTTGGAGGCTATTCGACGGAGGTGAGTCGTCGGAGGATGAATCGTAGGTTTGAGCGAGAGAGGAAAACGGGTAGGATAGAGAGAGATGAAAATTTATTTTATCAGATATTAGATTTAATAAATCATTTAATTATACTTTTATTCCTATAATACCCATGACTGAATTAATTTAGATACCCCTCCTTCTTTTTTTGTCTACTTATTTACAAAAACGCCACTTTGCATCTCGACCCTTCCTTTTTTTGATCCCACGTTCCACCTTTAGTTCTCGGGTTATCGGGAAACTTTGAGTTTTCAAATGATCATTCATCTCTCTCTCTCTCTCTCTCTCTATATATATATATATATATATATATATATATATATATATATATATATATATATATATATATATATATATATATATATATATATCTATATATCAATTTTAATATAAACTTGATGCATGCATCATAGGTCTTCTTATTACTCCCCCGGAAAGTTAAAAAGATTGAACACTTATAAAAAAAATATGCATATTTGTAATGAGACTATTTAGGTTTATAGCTCGTAATTCTTTTTAATAGGTATCGTATATATTTAGCATGTAATCATGAATTACTTTTATTTTGTTGCTAGATGTTTTATTCCATTAGCAAAAGATGTCGCTTTTATAAATTGTTGCTTACGGGTCAAACACAAACACGAATACTAAATCCTTATGCATATTTATTGAAATATGTAATTATAAAAAAATAATGGATGAACATATATTTTCGGGCAGGTCAAACAAGATCGTGTTGGTCAAAAGGGTTGAAATAATTGCTTGTTGCCAGACGGAGACTTAGAAAAGCAGACCAGTCGTCTTTCTACTTTTGTTTTTTTGCATAGTCCACGCCATTGTACCTATTACAGTAATATTTAATGTATTAAATTTCGTTCTTATCCCAATTAAAATTAAAAGGATAATAATTTGAAAGGGTAAAAGATTTTTAACATTTAGTTACTGAATTTTTTTCGTGTTTGGTTTATCTCTAAATTATTTGAAATTTTTTATATTTTATCCATATGACCGGTTGATTGTTACAGATGTAACGGGGTGAGTGTTTTCGTCGTCCTCTGTCGGTACTTCTGAATTCCGAGGTGCAAGAACAGGGACGCCATTTGCTGCTCAAACCGTAGCAGAAAATGCTATTCATGAAGTACTAGATCAGGATATGCAACAGGTAGAAGTCATGATTAAATGTCTTGATCTCGGGGGAGGTCATACCCGGTTTAGGAGGAGGGCAAACTGGGCTATTACCTAGGGTCCATAGTAACTTAGGGGCCCCAAATTTATATCAGTATGTATTTAATAATTTCGTCATTTGTTACTTCAAAATAGAAAATAGCCTCCAGCATACTTGGTATGAGCATCTTGTATTAACCTAGAGATATAGAATTCCATGCATTTACATTTTTTCATTGATTTTGTTTTACATTTGACATACAAAAAGAATAAGAACTTCTGTATAGGCTAACCTTTTGTTTAATAGGGTTCAAACCCTTAATTGCTATTTTTTCTACATTTACTTTGCTTTTTTTATAATGTATATTTAAGTTATATCCTATAAACAATAAAAAAAATAATAACATATAGTTTAGATGGTTTAAATGTTTGATTTTATTAGATTGTTATGGGATAATATTGATTTTGGCATTTTCCTAATTATTTTATTTATAATTCATTTGAAATTATTTACATATAAATCTATACACTAATAATTCTGTGTAATAAATTTCTTTTATTTACGACCCGTATGCTTGCCTATTAAGTCTTCGAAAAAAGTTAACTTAGATCAAATAATTCTATAATTTTTTTGTAATTTGAAGGGCCTTTTTTATTGTTTTGTCCTGGGCCCCAAATATCTTAGGACCGGCCATGGGAGAGGTGCAACATTATGAGCTATTTGCAGAAGTTATATACTATAACTTTTGTACGGGATTGTAACATCCCGACTCCCAAGTATAATATTTATATATGTCTAATTATGAGTTAAGTGAGCAACTCGACGAGTGGGAGCCCTAACTCGTCGAGTAGAGACGAATTGACCACGTGGGTTTTTCAACCAACTCGGCGAGTCGGAAAGACCAACTCGGCGAGTTGGCATTGTGAGTGGAAACCCTAATCTTTCGGGTTTGTGTCTTATTTAAAGGGCCTTAAGCCCTCATTTCCGCCTCACCAGCCACCCAACTCCCCTGTGTGAAACCCTAATCGATCAGATTGATTTGTATGAGAGAGAGAGAGAGAGATTAAATTGAGTGGTTTTGTGCATTCTTGGAAGGAGATTTGGAGAGCTTGGCGTGTTTGATCAAGGAGGGGCTGTAGATCCAGAGTTCTTCAGTGATTAGCTTCAGTGTAAAGGTAAAAAGCTTCTATCTTGACCTTTCCTTTGTGAGATCTTAGTTTAGGGAGGTTTTTAGGGTTTTCTCCCATCCATCCTTTGACAATGAGTTATTTGAGCATATCATGAGGTTGAAACCTCAGATCTGGACTGTAGAAGGACTTGAGAGCCCAAAGATCCGAGCTTTATTGAGCTAGAGACTAGCTTTTGTGCATCTAACCCTTGTTGGAGTTTGTATTGGCATTATGAGCCTAATATGCCATGCATGAACGTAAAGCTCGCAGCTTTACGTGACATTCGAGCCTTGGGATGCTAGATCTAGAGTTTAGGGTTGTAGATCTGCCTTAAAACGTCTGAATAAGAAAACATACTGAATAGACTCGTCGAGTCAATGAGCTGACTCGACGAGTCGGCTAGGGTTTTCCCCGATGAGTCTGGACATGGGTAACTCGGCGAGTTGACGAGACAACTCGACGAGTTAAGTTGGATTTTCGTGACAATTCAGAGGAAACGAGGGGACTCGACGAGTCATATAGATGCACTCGGCGAGTCGGGTCAACATGGGCTGTTGACTCGAGTGTTGCCTTCTATTGACTTTAGGGTTTGGTCAAGACAGGGATTATGGGGACCATGGAGGGGTAAAATGGTCTTTTACCCGTTCCAAGAGTTTGAGAGAGAAAATAACTTAGTTTATTTAGATTCGTGATTTAAGTGTTAATTAGAGGTAACTATCCGATGTGTTAGGCGAAGGCTAGTTCGAGATTCGTGTACGAGGTTATTTGCTTGCTTGCTTACGAGGTGAGTCTTCTCACTATACTTACCTAGAAAGGTAATATTTGTGTGACCGGAGGGTCTTATGTGCTTATATTGAGTATTGTGATATCCTGCATTATGTCCTTGTGATTTATGTCGTGTATTATTTTGAGCTTACTGAATTAGGACCAGAGTGTCCACCCGAGTTGTGGGACCGGAGGGTCCCACTGAGATACATTGACCGGAGGGTCTTATTTGAGCATAGCCATGAGAGGCTAATGAGATATGTGTGGTATTTTGGGGAACTCACTAAGCTTTGTGCTTACCGTGTTATGTGTTTCAGGTACTTCTCAGGATCACAGGAAGGCACCGACTTGATTGTACACACAAGAGTTGGAGATATGTTTTGGAGGATCCTGGATTGTGTTTTAAACAATCTATGAACATGTGTTTTTTATAACTTGATATTTTTTTGGGATTTTTGTGATTGTGTTAATGAGATTAAGGTGATTTTAAATGAAAAAAATTTGTTTAGAATTTACGGTGTTACAAGTTGGTATCAGAGCCTTGGTTTGAGGGATTCGGATATACCTTCGGGTGTATCTGGACTCAAACTGAGGATTTGAGAAAAAATTTCAAAAGAAATGATTTTTCCAAAATAAGAAAGAGTTTAAGAGAAAAACGAGTTGGACTGTTGGAGCAGTGTGTACAATCAGCCAGAGCCCGAACGGTGATTTCCCAAAATACCCTTACTTATTTGTGTTATGAGATATTTATGAAATCTTAGGGATGCATGCTAGAGGATAGGATAGGTATTTCATATTTAGGGCTAGAGTTTCCTGATTTGTGATGCCTTAGCCTAGGAGTTGCTGGTATCTGTTGTTGCCTTGAGTATGTGCTGAGTAGGAGTATCTAGCAGGAATCACTTAGAAAGAGTTCTGAGTCGATGGTTAATCTAGGAGAGATATCTAGATGACTATATGAGGAGTCTATTGAGAGAGTAGT